GGGGGATGGATGTCTCAAAGGGGTTAGGGGCGGAGTAGGGATTTGCCCTATTCAAGGGAAGGGGCTGGTGCATGGGTCAACATCAGTCCCTGTGGAGGTAGAAATGGGCAAGGGGTGGGGGGGCATGCTTTAGGTGGGAATTGCGTGGTCCTGGGGAAAGGGGGGCATAGGGTTGGTCCTATATTGGGGCCGAGGGAGAGTGGGTGACTGGCCTCGGCGGAGGCAGTGTAGGGCTGAGGGGGGAGGGGTAGGGGGAGGGAGGGGCGATCTCTCTTGAAGAATTCTAACATCTTGTTTAGTATTTATTTCCATTTGGTTTGCCTCTCGAGGAGGTTGTAGGAATAGGTGCTATCTGGCAAGTCATCTGTGATCCTACGACGGGTGGTCGAGAATAGGTGCTATCTGGCAAGTCATCTGTGATCCTACGACGGGTGGTCGAAAATTCGTTGGCCCTCGAAGACCGATGTCGGAGCAACGCTGGCCGGAGCCGGAGCCAGGTGGCGCAACTCTGTGACCTAGCTTAGCGGGGGCATGAGGCCTGATAGAGAGATCTAGGGGGCTGTTTGCGGGGGCAGTCTCAGTGGTCATCGGGGGTCGTAACCGGAGCCATGCTGGCCAGTGCTGGAGCAAGGTGGTGCAACTTTGTAACCTAACCTGATGGGAGCAAGAGTTTTGGTTCGTGCTGAAAATAGCCATGCCGGTGGTGGTCGTAGGCGGATTGAATGGGTTTCACCTATTTGATTCGTGGTTGGGAGGCTTTTTGCGCCACATATTCTAGTGACTTGGTAGAGTCTGAATAGTGGACCATGAATGTTTCTGAGTTTTCCCTTTTCTTCAATTGTTCTTAGCCGAAGTTGGGTAATGGCACCGGTAGCTCGCTTTTGTATTTTGATAAGGGACACTGGGCCCGGTTCCCAGCCGTGTTGCTCCCCATGAACAGATTGGAGCCTGCGTTACCGCGCGCTGATTGAGCGCGGGGTCGGAGCTCAAATTTTTGAGCTCCGCCCAATCCCGTGCTTAAAAGCGCTTGAGCGAGTTTTGAGAGGACGCGGGAATATTTCCCCCCCCCTCCTAAAATAATGATAAAAAACAAAAAACAAAAAATACAAGGTTGTAGATATTTTTGAGATCTACAACCTTACGTTTTTTATTTTATTTTTTGAACTTTCTTTATTTTTAGAAAATCAAAAACATAAAAGAAAGAAAATAACAAAAAAAAACAACATGAAATGGGCGGGTTTTTCTTTTTTTTAACAGAGATTTTTTTGCAGGCACAGAAATAACAAAATATAGAATAAAAAATATAGTCTTGTAGATATTTTGGAGATCTGTGACCCCATATTTTTTATTGTTTTTGAAACGGTATTCACCAGTTCGAAGTAGCTGATGTAGGACCCAGGGTTCAATCCCTAGTTCCCCAACTTACCTGTGTACAATATCTGTGACAACTTGAAGAATTGAACCTGCGACCTGTAGAACCGCCAGTGGTAAGTAGGTCTGTCGTAGCTCTTTAGGTAGCCAGGATTTGATCCATAGACCTGTAGAGTAGAAGTCCASCTGCAGTCCTTSTAGAAGGTTGGCAAGTGGTCAAGTGGTGYGACTAAAGCAAGCCCATGTTGGAGACGAGGACAAGTGGCAAGGGCAAATAGTAGGACCCCAGTGCAACTGCACTG